CTTTCCACAAAGTCAGCAGAAACGTTACACCAGGGACCCCCGTGATGCAACCGCTGATGCTTCCACGTCTGCCGGCCCAGGCCTGGGAAGCCCGACGTCAGGCGGTGCCGTTACGCACGCCAGCGAACTACGCGGGTCCGGGAATGCTCCTGGTGCCTTGGCTGCTAGTGATCTCCAGCCCCAGGAACAGCCGAGTGCCCAAACTGCACCAGAGAATGGGTGGAGAGGGTGTGATCGGGCAGGGCCGAGCGCAGGCTAACAGCAGAGATAATCATGGTCTAGGGCTGGAAGTATTTCAGGAAATGGTGGGTTTCCTGGTCAGCCCATTAAACCCCTGAGCCCTCTTTAGGGGATTCCCTATGGAAAACGCCATGATGAGTTTTCCACAGGAAAAAAAGTCTCATGAGCGTTGCAGAGCAGAGTAGCCTTCCTGCTTCTCAAAAATCAGCTTTTATCATCAACACCCAGGGTTAATTAAAGAGAAAAAAAGGTGGGAAGGGGCAGAGATTTCTCCCTTTATTAGTAGTAGGGAAATAGCTGGGAAAAACTCCTGAACACAGGAAGTTTCACAAGGATTCAGAGGGGTGCTGCTCACCACCTCTGGATTAGGAGCTCACTTGGTTTGGCTGCACCTTGTCAAAAATAGTCTGATTCAGGATTCCTGACGTAAAATTCTGACTCCGTGGCAGTCAGGGCCAGGAAATGGTAAAACACTTATTGATTTCAGTAAAACCAGAATTTTTTTCTCATGGCTTGGATGCCAGATGGAAGAAAAACTGGTTTGGGTACTTCTCAGCAGGTGAAATGACAGGCTGTGCGTCTGTCTGCGAGAAGCCATTACCGTGTATTCGGAAAAGTTGGTTCCTGAGTGACTTTACAGTGAAGTTCACAGCCTGGAGAGAAGGGCCCCTCTTACCACGCAGCGGAGGAGCACCAGCTGCCTTCTTTCCCAGCAGCACCGCATCGCTCTGACGCGTACAGGGAAATAAGAAATTCTCGTCTTTCCATCTGACCCAGCAGCGTTTCCCCTTGGAAAGGAGCACAACTTCCTCATCTCACTCTGAAACGCAGCCGCTGGAGGATGCACAAGTCTTCAGGGCTGTGTTTTCCATCGGTAACCAAGGAAAAAGACAACCGAGGTACCCCCGAAGTGCCGACACCGCTGGAAAGCGCTGCGCGGAGGCACCCGGCGGAGCAGAGACGGCCCCATCTGTCACCTCTGGCTTTGCCATGCCACAGCTGCTTTCTGCAGCCCCGCTGGAGAATCAGCTGGCTCTGACCCCGATCCCCTCGCTGTCTGCCTGCACGGCCACACCGGATTTCCACCCGTGACCAGCCATCACCTCGCTCCAGACTGGGGCTGCAGAGAAGGTGCTGTGCTCACACGACTCCCTGGATTCGAAAAACGCCCTGGGCTAAAGCTCATCCTCTGCCTGGGGCCGCTTTTATCCAAGACGGGCCACAGAATCCCTTCTTTCTGCTAACCTGTCGCTAATAATATTATTCTCATTTTTCCAGGGCCACAACCAGAAGCCTGGAGCAGTTACCTCCAGTTTTACTTCAAGCACGTTGTGCAGACGCGGCCCTTGGCCATTCCCGTTTGAAAACCCCTGCAGCTCTGGGCAGGAGAGCGGACCCTCCCAGACCCCCTCGCTTTCACCCCGTCTAACCACCTGATTAAATCACAGCAGCGCTTCCATCTCCCACCAGCATTCCGAGCGAACACCTCGATGCCGCAGGGAGAAGCGCTCTTTCTCAACGCTCGCCTGTTCCCTCTCCTGCAGCCCGGGTTCCCATCTGGAAATCAAGGGAGGAGGCAAACAAGATTCACGTAAAGAAAATAACCTTTATTAGACCAATCAATCCAACCCTGAAAAAACAGCGTCAGGTAAACATCAGTAAAGGTTTTTCCAGCAACGCAGAAACCTCTGAAACTGAGCGATGGAGGAAGTCTCGCGTTCCTCGTGTTGTATCAGCAAATGCTCTCCCCCTGCGACAGGAGCTGTTGTCTCCTCAGCCCAACCCCTTGCCTTAACCCCGCAGTCAGCCTCTCAGACCACCCCCGCGCAGCCGCTCCCGCGCTTTCCTACGAGGGCGTCGGAACTCTGCTCTCTCGGCCCTCTGAACAAAGAGCGAGGTTTGAGAAACATCCAGCTTAGGAAAAATAACCACGAGTGGGAATAGAGGCCTTTCCAAACCTGAGGGAAGACTGTTTTAGACGTGGAGGGTAACTGGGCGGCTGTGGGGTGTAGCGACACAGCACTAGGCTGTGGGGGGCCGGGCAGCTCCCCCAGCTCTCGCAGAGTAAGTTACGGTCTGGGGGAGCCCAGTTCTAGCACTTCATCGACCAGGGGTGAGCAGCAGCTCGCAACAAGTAACTGCGGTCGCGAAAAATGCCGATTCTCCTTCCTACGAGCACGGACTGTGCGACCGGAACCTGACCCGACAGGGAGAGAGACTTACCCCTGGGACAGCAGCTACGCGGGGTGAGTTAGAGCCTTGGCTCCCCTCTGCTCCGGAGCCCCTGCACTGCCTCGGGCTGGGGTCTTTCCCCTCTCCCAGGGAAGGGTTTACACGCATGGTTAGTGCTGGAAGGGAGAGCGGAGGAGCTGGCAGGTGGTTAAGACAGAGACAAGCTCAGCGCTGAGGCACTGGAAGAATCATCTGAGGAAACAGTTCACTGTAACAATGAAATTGCTTTTATTAAAACAGAAGTGTTAAGCCAAGAAAATAAATTATTGCTATGATAGACATATTTAGAACAGGAGGAAGGACGTTAAATCTTGGGCTCCAGGTCCATATAACCCTGAAACACGTTACACTACTTGTCTTAAATACCTCGGTTTCTCTTCACGCCCTTCCAAAACCTTTATAAAATGTGCAGCTTACAGAACAAACAGTAACAGAGTCACTTGTAACAAAAATCTGTACAGCTCGTAGCTTTAAAAATACCTTTTTTTTTTTTTTTTTGTCTTTCAAACTGCTATGTTACTTATTTCTCATAAATATAGGGCTACAAGTTCTGAACACCCAAGGTCCCATCCAAGGCCAAAGCTCTAAGGTGGAGTTGACAGAAACCTGCTTGGGACTTTCCCCCCTGGCAGAGGTCAGGGCTGGGGCTGTTCGAAAGAGCCTAATTATGTGTCAAAAATCTATCTTCGTGGGTGAAGACTGTCTCCTCCTGCTGGTCAGAGGCCTGGGGTCTTCAGGGAGTTTGACATGGCAATCAAACCTGGAACACAGCACCGGGCAAGGGGTTAGAGCGGCTGCACCCCCACGGGGTGGCTGGACCTACAGGTCCCTCTGTCCCGGCCAGCAGCAATTTGGCAAAATGCTTTGACCCCCCTCCCGTTTGTCAGGGCTGCGTTTTGGTGGGGAAAGAGCGTTTTACGCCAAGGGCCTCGCAGAAGCGCAGCTGAGGGCCTGCAAAGAGAGGGGTCTCTGCACTGCAGGACCTGCCCAGGGGTCACGTGCTGCTGGCCCGGTGGCAGCGGGGCCAGCAAACCCCGCTGCTTCTGTGGCCACCGCAAAGGTCTTGCCCGTGACCCCCCTGGGATTTAAATGTTCCCCTCAGCTGGTTGCGTTGAGCCGGTGATAAACTCCCGCAGGTCACAAGCCGCAGGCCTGTGTAACACCCCAAGGTGCCAAACCTACGAGCCATCCCCCTCCCCGCGCCTCGACAGCCAAAGCCCTGATCTCCCGCGCTCACACCCCTCGGCTGCCTGGGAAAAAGGGAGGCTCCATCCTAAGGACAGAGAGGGAAGAGCTGAGCCAGATGCTGGCCAGTCCGAGCGGGGCCTGACAGGACATTCCCAGTACGGCCACCCACACAGGAGCCCGGCGTGGGCACAGAGCTCATCCCTCCTCAGAAAACAGCGATTTCCTCACGCACACGGCATCCTCCAGCCACCAGAACCTACGGGGCAGCGCTGGCAGCTCCCTCAGCACATCCTGACCAGGACCTGGCAGGATCCTCTGCCTGATGCTGCACAGTTTCCTTGGGATGTTCAAAGGAAACTGGGGGAGACACCCAGCTTTGGGAGAACGCTGTGGAGAGGGACTAACGAAGAACAGGATTTCGGCAAACAGCCACGAGGAGATTAGTGGTTAGACAGCTGGGCAGAGGCTGGAGGAAAGCGGCTCATCTGAACTCTGCTGACCAGGCAGTGCTCTACTGCCCAAAAGTGATTTGCCTGTTTTGCTCCTTCAAACCTGGAGGCCCCAGACCGACTGTTTAAGGCAACAGCTCTGTGGGAGCTGGGCTCTCCAACCAGGTGAATTGTAGCCTCACACCGGCCAGCAATGCGGGTGGAAAACTTCTCATGGAGAAGCAGAAGGTGAGGTTCTCCTGACACACCTGACCAGCACTCAGAGCGGCTGGAAAATCCCCTTCAGGGGCTACTTACAACAACTCCGCTTCCTTAGGCGGTAAACGCGTGCAGAGAGGCTCACACTACTGTCGAGGGACTTATGGTGACCTGGCCTGCTTTCTGCAGAGGAGAGAAGCCGGCATTAGTACGGGGTTAGAGCACAACAGCACCTGGACACAATCCGGTGGGAAGGGAAGCAGCTGACAACTCTCAGGAACGTAAGAGGAGACACACTGACATTGCAGAGCAACAGGGTCCCGCTCCTCCACCTCACTGCTCCCCAAAAAAGGCCCAAACCTCCCAGGAAAGGGAGCCTGGCAGCTGAGCTCCTCCCGTCCCAAGAGGTTACACATGTACCCCAGCCCACCACAGCACTAAAGCTCCTGCGCGTCGTCTCCAGCACTGCAGGTCATTCCCTGCCCGTCTCCTCGGGGCTGGGACACCGCAGGGGAGGCTCCCACAGAGAGGGGGCTTCCGGCTGCCCCGGGGAGGTGAGTCTCACTCCTCTACAGCGACTCCCAGCCCAAAAGCAGCATCTTCGGAGCCCCCGTGAGAGGCAGTGGCTTGAACCGGGGAGGTGGCTGCAGGAACCGGCAGAGCCAAGAGCGTTTTGCGGCTGCACGCACTTACTGCGGAAATGTACTGGCTGTTTGCGAACCGGGGCTTCTCCTCCACGGCAGAGCGGTGCTGGGAGCCCAGGGGCACGTAGTGGGGGGAGCCCAGGTCTTCGCAGAAGCTTTCTTGCGGGATGCTGGAGACACAGCCGCTGTCGGAGCCGCTGGAGCCACTGCCCGACATGCAGTGCGATGATTCCGAGCTCTCTGTTGCTGGGGGAAGAGAGGAAGGTCAATGTGATGATCAGGAATTTGCCCCACATGACCTGTGCCGCGTACGCTTGGTCACGTATCTGTTTGCAGAGGCACTGGCCACACGAGCCCGCAGACAAGCCACGCTCCCACCTGGGCTTCTTTAGAGCCATAAGCAACACAATAACCCAAGGAGCTGGAGATTGCACAGACAGGGCAGGGAAGTTGACGCCGGAGACGCCACAGGACCAGGCTGGAGAGAGCGCGCACGCAGGCAGAGACACGAGCACTGCTCTCCCAGGCCTCGCGGCACCAAGCCCACCCTGCGAAAGCTGAGCCAGAGCTGGCCTGGAAGGGCAGGGCCCTCCTTGCCCCCATTTGGCTACAGAGCAGGCACCGCCACGGCCCCAGTGAGCCTGGCGTGATGGTGCAGGAGGGCTCAGCCCGGGGCACGTTGCGGCGCGGCGGGGTCCTACGTACTCAGCGATGGCTGGCTGCTCGTCTCGTGCTCCAGCTCATCTTCCTCGATGCAGGTGCCGATGTCAAAGGGGCGGCTGGGGGCCAGGACGCCCGGCAGCAGCGTCTGGTCCAGGTACATGTGGAGGTTGAGGGGCCCCAGCAAGGAGGAGGAGGAAGGGCTGTACGCAGCAGGGCTGCTGCCCGCGGAGAGCTGCGTCTGCGTCCTCTTGTACGGGTTGGAATGGTCAAAGAGAGACACCGCGATTGATGCTCTGGTCCTGGCACCTGCCAAAAGACACAGCGGAAGGCCCTGAGCACCAGTCCTGCCCAGCTCACGGGGAGCAAGGTGGCAGGCCCGGCTGGCACGTACCTCGGCCTTTCATGATGTAATCAATAGCACGGTCATTGATAGCTGCCTCGCTGGGTTTGATATCCAGGAAGGGCTTGTTGCCCACACCCATGGAGACCATCTCCTGCATACGGATTTCTGGAGAGGAAGAGATCCCCCCCCGCCACACGGTGAGGTTTCTCCAGCCCACCCCTCAAGCGTGACGCAGCCCCCTGCAGAGCACTCCTACGCCAGGCTGCTCCCGACCTGCTGAGATCAGATCTGTTCTCCCCGTGCTCCCCAGTCCCGAACAGTCTCCACAGACAAGCAATCATGCCCTGCTCTGGCCGAGCAGCTCAATGCCATGCTGCCTGCAAGAGTCCTGCCAAGCGGGGTGCCTGGGGTGGAAAGGAGGGACTCAGCCAGACAGCTGCCACTCCAGAAGTGGCCTAGACCGAGGGGAGAAGCATGAGCTTCGCAGGAGCCCAGGCCACGCTCACAGGGCAGGAAGCCCTGTCCTAGGATCTCCCGTTTCTCCCACAGGGTCCAAGTAGATGTCTACAGTCCCACAGAGCTTGGACTGGCTGCATTCCCTAGGGATGAGGGGCAGGAAAAGGATGTGTCCAGCCAAGCCCAGCGCATGCTCCTGAGGCCGCATGCTGGCACGCAGGTGCTCGCTGCACAGAGCTGCCTGGTAACAGGCTCCAAACCTACTCAGGACAGCATGAGCCGAACAGGGCTCCCGCACCTTCTGCGGCACAGCCGCCCCGGGAAGGAATCACACCTTTATTGCGGGCTGCCTGCTGCCACAGGATCTTGGCAATGTCACTGGTCCAGGCCTGCTTAGTCTCGGCTGAGCTGGCCTGGAGGATGTAGGTGTCGCTGGACTTCCGCCTTCGGAACCAGATCTCGAAGCGCAGGCCACTGTCACCAGAGTTCTCCGTCAGACCGATGTCTGCAGTCTGCCAGAAAAAGAAAGGGCAAAGCATCAGCTGGGGCTGCACCAGGAGCAGAAAGAGCACGCTCTGCCTGCATCCCCAGCTCGGCAGACCCCATGGGAAGGAGCAGGCGTGATCTGGACACAGCCGAGCAGAGACAGCCCAGGCGACTCCAGTGCTTCATCCAGAGTCAGCAGCACCTCCCTGCCATGCACACACTGCCTGTCCCTCAGAAGACCTCGGTCCCACATCTCCCAACATGGAGGGAGCCCATGTGAAGCATTCCCTTCTGGCTTCACTGGGAGGCCTGGAGAAAGCACAGCAGTGAGACAGCTCTTCTGAAGGTGCTCCTGCTCCGCATTTCAGAGCCATGTGCCCGCAGGGAAACCAGCCGTGGATAACCTCTGACACAAGAGGGAGCTGCAGGCCTGCCCTTACCTTGAAGGAGCGCTTGTAGATATACACATCAAAGCCACCCTCGATCCTCTTGGGCTTGCTGAACAGGATCAGGTCCTCAAAGAGGAAGACGTGTCGCTGGCACTTCCTACGGCCCAGCCAGATGGTGAACTCGTCCTGCCGCACCAGCTGCCCCTGCTCCTTCAGGTTCACCTGGACACGGGGAAGAGCCTGGTAAGATCCCAGCAGGATCAGCTCCAGGCCTGACATGGTGAGCAGGTTCCCCCCACACGGCTGTGGCCCAGGAGCTGAAAAAGTGGCAGCTGTCATGCTAGGAGGGCTCTCGAAGGGGTAGGGCTGTGTGGCACTGCCAGAGGCCACATCAGGCCAAAACAAGGTGCCCAGAGCTCAGGGGAGAGCTATACCTCTCTCCCAGGCACCGATGACCCTCTGCAGATCTGTGACAAACCTCTGGGGTGGCAACTAAAGGCAGCAGCCAGAGCTCTCTCGGGGAAAAGAGGAAAGGAGTCCCATCAAACTACCAGGAGCACATCTATGTCAGAAGGCCAGTCCCTCAGTTCTTCCTTTCCCAGATCCATCTTTCTCCATCCTGAGCACTGTGGTTTCTCCCCCTCCAGTGCTGCACTTTGCAGGACTCCCCTTCAAGTCTCTCCTAGCTGATTTTATCTTACCCCTGGCATCAGCATCAGTCTGATTTCCTTCTTGTAAACCGCTTGAGCCTCGTATCACCAGCTCAGAAGAGATGCAGGGGCTTGAGGCAGCCTGCGGGACACCCCCATCTGCGAGGACTGCCAGGCTGCTGCACGTCACCAGTAAGCGCCTGGGAGCTTGTCTGTGACAAGCAGCTCACCCAGCTCCAGTAGCAGCACCCAGGCTGTCTGTCCCAGCAGATCAAGGATACTTCCGAGCCCTGCCGTGCTCCAGCAGTCCCACCACGCTGTGCTGGCACACAGCACCCTAATCCCTGGGAATCTGGGGGTGGGGGGTCTCACCGTATAATCCAGAGACCCCAGTTTTAGAGAAAGGGAAGAAGTGTGGCTCTGCCCACCCAGGCAGGGGAGGACACTGGAACGTACGTCACAGTCGCGGATGGCATCCATGGCCAGCAGGTCATTTCCATGCCGGAGCTGGAACTTCACCATCTCCTCAGCCGCACGGAGGTAGCCCAGCTCCTGCTCCTGTGCCTCGCTGCACTCCTTGATCAGGTCTTTCAGGAGCAGGGCGTATTTGCTCATCCGCTGGATGGGTTTCAGCAGGTAGGAGGCCAGGTCCATCTTATCCCCAAGCTGCACCTGCTTGAGCTGCAAAACGCGGCAAAGAATGAAGGCAGCAGCTTCCCGCAGAGAGCCCCGCGGCAAAGGCCCTGGAATGAAGGCAGCAGCTTCCCGTGGAGAGTCCCGCAGCCCCAGACAGGCCCTGGCACCCGCAGGTCTCCAGACTGGGACACCCTGCTCGCTCTGCAGGGGAAAGCGAGGCTGCAGTACCAACACTGCTGCGTGCTGGGCTCCTTCCCAAAGCACTCAGCAGATCTCTGCCCCTGTCCTCCCTACACACTTGAGCTACGCCAGGAAAGCAGAGCTAGAGCCCACCGTGCCTCAAGCAGGAGTGCTGGGCTTGTTTAAGCGGATCGGTGACCCAACACCAAGAGCCATCGTGATGTAGGCAGTGGAATTTACCTTGAAGAAGGTATTCCCGTGGCTGGCCAGCAGCGAGTCTGACTTTGGCTTGTTCTTGCTGTACAATGCATACATCCCAAACTGGTCTTTCTGCAAAAGAGAACCCGTGTGAGGCCAACGCGCATCCAGGACAGAGTGACAGCCGTGCCTGGGGCTGGTTACTCCAGAACTCCTACCTCTCACAGGCTGCACCACAGCCTCCTACAGCATCAGGAACAACTTTGCTTCAAGTTCATTAAGAGTCAGGGAATGTTCTTGTCTTCCCACTCCTAGAGCAGCTAGGACTTTTGAATCCACTGTCCTGTTTCCCCTTGCCCCTTACATACCCCAACAGACACTGTTCACCTGGCAGCAGCAATGCATGGGGCAGAGCTTAAGGCCGATGCCCCACGTTTCTCCCCAGCAGCTCCTTTCAGCAGCAGGTCTGTAACCCTCTGCACTGACACCACAGAGACAACAGGACAAAGGATGCAGACAGGCTCTGAAGAGACATTCTGCTTCCCTAGCAGTGTCTCTTGGCAGCAAAGAACACCAGGAAAGGCAAAGAGCATCTGCTGCTGGCTGGGCTCAGCCTCGCAGAGCCATCCCAGTTCAACCTAGCAGTGGAGCTGGCAGGGGACAAGCCAACCCAGCACAGGGTAGCCCTCCCACTCCCAAAGAGCCACAGCCCACCAGCACACAGGAGAATGCGTGGACAGTGCTGGGCACAGGAGCCAAGCACGTGTCTGGAGCAGCCCGAACCCGGGGAAGGTGCTGATGCCTTACGTGTCGGAGGAAGCAGTGGCTGACCCGCAGCGGGTGGTTGCAGCAGCTCTCGAGCTCTCGCAGGAAATACTGGCTGTGGAAGTCATAGAGTTTTTCCAGGTTCCCAAAAATGACGCTGCGCTTCCCACGCAGGTCCTGGGGGAGGTCGAGGCGCTCCATCTCAGGGAAGTAGCTATCGATGATGTAGCAAAGTGACCTCACATATTCCCGCTCCGTGGTTACCATCTCATCAATGATGTGCCGCAGCTTGCTGCAACAGGAAATACTCAGGCTTGAAGGGACCTGGATGCAGTCAGAGTGCCCACAAAGTACTGGGCTGTCCCTCGGAAAGCTCTCCCACAGACCCCCCCGGGGGAGAGGAGATGATCCCCTAGCATCATCCAAGCCCAGGGCACAGCTGTCTACGACGGCCCTGACCCTGAGCACTGACAAAGTTCCTGGCTGACCCAAGCCTGCTGACTGGATGCAGGGGGTGACATTTCCCTGGGAGAACACAAATTCTGGACCCAGGCACTAAGGGGCACAAATCTCTTCACTGAGCAGCAGTTCCCAGCACGGGTTGCTCTGCACGTCTTGGAAAGGCTCGCTCCTAGGTACTAGAGTTTTCCAGTGCGAGGCAGTGCAGCACCAAACATAACTACTCCAGGCTGCCTGCCTCCCCCGCCTCTCAGCTTCTGCCAGCCGGCTCCTGCCTGTTCAGAGGCCGACCAGCGGGACCGCCTGCCCATGGACGGGGGCTGCTGTGTCCTCCCTTGAGAAGCAAAGTAGTCAGCCTCTATCTGCTGCTGCTCATCCCCTGCCACATGCTGGGCTACCAGAGGCCCCTTCAGAGGATTTAGCTGTGCCCATCCATCCCATCCAGACGAGAAGCAGTGAGGAAGCTCCGTGGTACCCCTGCAACCAGCACTAGTTTCTCACTTCTACCACTATTTTTTTTTTTGTGGGTTTTTAAAAATCTCTTCCAATGAGAGCACCCAGAAGACCTGCCTGGTGACTCCCTTTTAGAGCAGCTCCTATCCCTGGGCTCCCCATATCCCAGGCACCCTGCAGTACAACACAGTGAAGTTGAGCTCCTCGAGAACAGGGAAGGGAAAGAAAAGAACAAAAGCCAGCTGCAGGTCACTCAAACAGAGCCCCCAGCCCCAAAGGGCAAATACAAACACCCTCTTACCTGTGAGGCAGCTGTCACAGGGTACTGAAGTGCCCCCTGGCAGTCTGGGTACAGCCTCCCCAAAAGTGGGGGTGTGAGGCACTAGGCTTTTGATCTCCCGCTGCACCCCTACGACTGGTTTGCTAGGTGCAAGCGCTACATTTCTGCGAACCCTTGCCCCCTAAGGCCAGCAACATTCCGGGACTCCCTCTCCTGCCTGGGAGCTGCTCTTCCCCTCCGAGGCAGGAACCACACTGTGGGGGAAGAGCAAGAGACCCCATTTCCCTGCCTTCCCCAACAGCAGGTGCGAGGCTGCACGGGGACATGCCCGTGGGCCCGCTGAATGCCACACACGCATGTGCAGGGAAGCTGGAGCTCTACCTCTCCAACATCTGTCCTGTTCCCACTGGAAAGTAACTGCCACTGCCCAGCTCTTCGCATCATTGCTGGCTGCCTCCTCACTACCCCAAGAGTGCAGCACCGAGTGTCGGAGTCACTCACCTGCCCCAGCTCTTGGCGTCTGACACGGAGAGGCAGCCCCTCTGGCCCTCCAGCAGACAGTCTGCAGCCCAGGTGTGAGCCGGTTGCTGCCGCAGCGCAAAAGTCCTGTCCACCAACTCAGTACTGCTCACCTCCAGCCCCTTAATAAAGACGCCGGTGTTGCCGTACCTGGCCGGCTCGCTCAGTGTCCTCTGGCAGCCTGACCACAGGCTCTCACCGCAAGGGAGGTCAAAGCTTTGGGCCTTGCGGAGCATCCTCCTGGGAGGCGGCTTCCCAGAGGCCGGAGTGGAGGTGCAGGATGGCTTCACCTCCAAGGTTTCTAGTATGCTCTCCAGGTTTGGCTTTTCTTCAGGCAGCTTTGGAGACTTGGAGGCCGCACTGGCAAAGGAAACTCTGCTGGAGTGAGAAGCAGGGCTGAGAGCAGCTTGGCAGGCGAGTTCTTCCCCAGCACTGACATCGCCGGGGCAGCTCAGGGAGTGTGAGGGAGCCTTCTCCTTAGCCCACCCTGAAGAGCGGCCGGGCCTGTTGCAGCAATGGGAAGCACTGCAAGTCCTGTCCCAGTGGGACCCGGAGCTGGCCCCCTCGGAGTGCCTGCGCTGAGAGAGACCGCCAGCCTCGCTGCCCGCCCGGGGCTGCTCCCCCGCAGCTGGTTTGCGGTCGGACAGCAGAGACCTCCTTGTTCTCAAGGCTGCTTCCAGTTTCTTTTCAAAAACCAGCTTGGTCTCCTGGCATTTGGACCACGCGAATTTCCACTGCTTGAGTCCCTTGTCACTCTTCAGCTCACACGCCAGCTCCTTCATCTCCTGGAAACGGGCATCGCTGATATCCGGGTGCTGCCCCTTGTAACTCTCCAGGCACTTAATCACACCCGTGCAGTGCTCGGCGGAGCTGCAGTCCTCCATGCTGATGCAGGCAAGGTGTCGCATCCCTTCCAAGGCCCACTCGTATGCCTGTAGAGAGCGAGAACAAAAGGCAAGAGCCAGTCAGAGGGATTCGGGGAAGAATAACCCTAATTCGGTGCCTAAAGTGCAAAGACAAGAGAAAGGATTAGTGTGTGGCCACCACAGCTCCTCCAGTGTGAGAGGAGGGGGGGCTGCTATTGTCAATGGGGCTTAACAACTCTGCAAAACAAACAGCTCCTTATGCAGAGGGTTTCAGCTGCGCTGGCTGCTCCACTACAGCTCCACCTCCCCGCCAGGTCCCTGTGACGCTGGGCACCCAACACTGCTGGTCGCTTTGTCTTCTCTGGGCAGGGGGGCCCCAGGGCAAGCTGTTGCCAAAACTGTAGGAATTCACACCTTGGCGTGGCCCAGCTCCATATAAAACCTGGGACTCACCCTCCTCCTTTGCCCAGCCATTCTCATCACTACCAAGCAGGACAAGGTCAAGGGGCCGTGGGTAAGCTGCAAAGAACGGGATTGATACTCCCCTTGCTGCTTCCTGGGAGCCAACAGCACAGAGTGGCCTGGAGCTGGGCTCTGTGGATCAGCCCGAGTGCTCTGACCCATCCTTGCAGCAAGCAGGAATCCGAGACCACGCAAGCCCAGTTGCAGCTTGTGTGTTTTCCATGCCTGTTGGCACCCGAGCGGGGTGCTGTGCCCTGCCTGCTTGGCCCTGCTTGCTACTGCATTGCATGCTGGTGCCAGTTGAATATCGAGCTCAGCAGTTTATTTCTAATACTGCACGAATGCTGGAAGCAGTTTCATGGGGTTTAACTCTAACAGCGGTGCTTGTGCTGGCCTTGCTAAAACAGCTCTGCTGTATCGGTTGAACAAGGGGAGCAGGACAAAACGTGGTCCAACGTGACAGACGCAAGGTCAGAGTGCCGTACTGCCATGGCAGGAAAGGGGGAAGGACCGTGCACCGAGACCTGCCTGTCATTGATGAAAGTGAGAGGAAAAGCAAGTATGGGAATTACTCAGGCTCATAAGATGCTACTTTTTCAGGGATGATGACAAGGAGGTTTAAGTATGGAGTGAGTAAGACGTGACCAGCTGCCATAGGCCTGGCCAGGAAACTCTGCTGCTCATCAGTGAAAACAGAGTTGTTTTGCTAAAGGAGATGCATGAGGCAGGCAAACATTCAGGCCAGGCCTGCCTGGCACCTTCACCAACTGCCCTAGACCTGCGGATGTGCAGAAGCACCACAGGCTGCCCTTGAAGTGACCCTGACCATCTCTGGGCCCTGCGTACCCACCCCGTTTTAGTGCCAGGAACAAAGCAACCATCTTCCACGTGAAAAGCCTTACCAACAGGCTTTGCTCAGAAAGCTTAACACACTTATTTTTATGCAGAACAGAGCTTTACACACCAAGAAAATCCACACAAGGTTTCTGCAGACATGGAGCAGCCACTGCATCCCCATCAGGATGACCAGGGACCACCATGGTGGTCAAACAGATCACAGGCCAGGCTTGTCTCTGTGGGTGGCAGAAGGTGTCAGCGCAGGAGGGTCTTCACTCACATGGTGCCCAGCCCCTGACTGGGGCTGGCGACGAGAGCCAGGCACTGCTGTTTGTAGGAGAGCTGAATGCCGGCACACAGCCCGCAGACTGAGCGGCGTCCCTGTGGGGACAGATGCCCCAGGAGCCCTCACATGGCTCTGCTGAGCTGCAGCTGCACGGCGCGCGTGCAGCCAGCCCCATTACTCATGCGGAGCAAGGAGCTGCTTCAGAAACAGCAGCAGCTGCTTGTGGGAAACGCTTCTCAAACGGCCCCATGCAACTGCGGGACAGGACAATGGGAAGAGCAGCAGCCCCCTCTCCTCCCATCACCCTGCCTAGCGCAGCCTCGACCTGCCTCTCACTTGATCCAGGCTTTATGTGCCAGGCTTGCCCACTGCTGGGGGCCGGCCGGACACACAGAGGCAGAGGACATGCCAGACGCAGGTGAGAATCTGCATTTATCCATGATGCAGAGGGTTTTTTATTCCCTGGAAACAGAAACACATCCAGGGGAGGTGGAAGGCCCAGCAGAACCCAGCCGATTCGTGCAGCAGTGACAGATAGCCTATTTTGCCGTGGGTTTTTGAGCTGCACCCCTCCAGCTGTACCAGTCCCTTCCAGCTCTGCCCTCAGCAAGGGCTGGCCCTCAGCATGGGCTATGGGCACGTCTCACCCCTTCGGCTGTGGAGGTGATGCTGACGGAAGGCTGCATGCCAGCTCCCTTTCACCCGCTGATGGCAAAAGCGGAGCTCCGAAGGCACACAGGGCTCTGAACGAGGGTGCCGAGAGCCATGTGTGGGAGAGGCATGGCCAGGTCAGACTGGCCTGTACAGCAGCTAGTCAGGAAGGCAGCTGCTCTGGGAAGGCCTTCTCTAAGGCTGGGGACCTCACTTCCATGCACAGATGGGAGAGAGAGAAAAGAGGCTTCTTTCATTTCTAGGAAACTCCTCAGATCTGCATGGGGCCCTAGAAGGAAGGGATCAGGGCTGCAAACCACACAGGGAGGCAGCCCCGCCACCCCTCATCCTTCATATGGTATCTGTCCATCCTTGGCACAGGCTCCAAGGGCTGCACAGAAACAGCTCCAAGTCCCAACGGCATTTCTTCTGCGGCCAGTGCCCATCGCAGGCCAGCGAACAGCTCCGCTTTGTTCCCTGCACAATGGGAGCAGCCCTCCACACCCCGCAGCTTGCCTGCTAACACGCAAACTGGCCACCAAGGCTTTCTCCAGTCGCATCATCCGCTCCAACTGCCCCTTTTAGCACATGAAGTGGCAGTCCTCTCCAGGGACCAAGCGTGTCCAGCACCCAGGAGGGAACACTCTCAAGACAAAGGGGTTTTGCTGTCAGCCGTGTCCTGAAAAGGTTACAAACAAGCCAAGCCAGGATACCAGGGGGGCTTTCAGGGAGCAGGCAGCCCTACAGCTTCTCTGCAAAGCTGCGAGCCCTGCTCGTATCAAAGAGGAGGCACCTGTGTGCTGGGAAGCTGAATCTTCCCAACCACATCTGGAACCAGGCAGGAAGGAGCCTATTCCTCAGTCTTTGATCTTCACACACAAGTCATTACTGAAACTCTCAATTACAGGATTAAAGACAAAGGTGCTTCCTGCATACACAGGGCTGACCTAGGCAGAGCTGCGCGAGCACTCAGCAACAGGTTGGTCCTGCCAGGCTGCCCTGGGGAGCCAGGGACTCTCGGGGACCCACCATGCTGTAAGGAAGAGACAGGGCCTTCACCGGGGCACAGTGCAACCCTCAAGCCCATCACCCTGTGTTGGTCCCTGCTCGTTTCATGACGGGTGAGGCCTGCACTGAGGACAGAAGTTTCTGGAGGCTCTTGTCATTGGCATCACTGAAGTACCATCTGCAAACACAGCCCAAGAGAAGCCCTGGCCCAGTGCATGCTGCCAGTGCTGCATAGAAAAGCCTTCTAGGGGTCCCAGATCCTCAACTGAGCCACGATCTCACACCTCCCCAACCCAAACCTACTGCAAACCCACCAGATTCCTCTCGTACTCAAGGTCCAGTGATCTCTAATACACCTTTCTGGGTAGCCAAGACAGGAGACAATCATCGTGCATTCCCAGACATATGCCAGATGGGGCAATTTCAAGGGGGCCTGCCTTTGCCCAAACCTGCTTCTTCATCTCTTCCTGGGGCAGGCAATGATTATAACAGTATTTTTCTTGTCACGCAGGAAACGGGATGTCTGAACAGTCCAATGCAGGCAGAGTAGGCAGATCACAAGCCCTCCAACTTTCTGCAGAAGAAAAATGTACCTTGGTGGGTGACCAACTCTGCTGCTAGAAGGTTTCCTTCTGAATCCAAAGGACTGCATGGGGGAGCTGAGACAGGGGTGGTGAAAAGCCAAAACTGACCTCGATGGGAGCGACAATACAGGCAGGGATGCAGGAGCAGCTGGGGGTACGAAGACTGAAGCACCGTGACAAGACAGGCCAAGTCCCCCATCCTCTGCAATGATACCCATCCCAGAGGCACAAGACCCCCACTCCCCAGCTCTCTACAACACAGAGAGAGGGAAGCAGCACAACAGCGACAGTGGGAACAGCCCAACAGTGGGAAAACTGCCAAGGCCAGCGAAAAAGAAGCCAACAGCATCAAACAAGCCCTGATCCAGCAGCTCCTGTACACAAGCTGCGCTCCACTCTGCTGGCTGTTAGTGAGACAACTAATCACACGTCTTTGTGGCCAGAACTGTCCAACTCCTCGTTTAACAAGGCCTCTTCTCACCACTGCCGTGTTCACTCTTAACTTCAACCGTCCAGCTGAGGTTGGCTTGCAGCAGAACTGGTGCAGCCCGAAAAGGTCAGAGGGGCTGTTGTGAAGTGAGCCAAGCGCTTCCCAACAGCTATGCAGAGTGCCAGGCAGGCACAGAGTCCTGCAGCTGCCCCATTCTGCCCAGGGCTCCGGTGCTGAACCCTGCAGAGCTGAGATGCTGGTCGCCGCAAAGGAGTCAAGAGTGACAGGGAACTTCCCAGAACATGAGTGCAAAGGAAACGGTACTCTCCTGCACAAAAGTTCCCGCTCCCAGGTGTGCTCTTCATTACAGATGCTCAGCTGGGCTTATTCCCTCTGAAGTCCAGGCTGCTTTGAGACCTGACTCCTGCTCACAGTGACAGTGTCCCTTGTCACAGGCTGCTGCATGTCAAACACAAGCAGGGACCCATGGCTGCAGACTGCCTTGTATGCTGACGGTTCAGAAGGACCACAGTTGAAAAGCCATTTTACATCAAAATATATTGAAAGCAAAACTGTACAGGCTAAAACCTTATTGTCATGAGCGTCAGGTAGCAAACGATGATGAGCCTATTTCTCTGCTAACTCACGGGGACCAAGCAGCTGCAGTAGGAAGCGCTTGGCTTGCCACTCACTTGGATCTGCTTCATGCTTTCCTCAGGCTCCCACCCACGATACTAACAGCACCCACGAAGGAAGCAGCAGGGAGAGAGCAAGACTTCAGGGCCTGCAGATGTGCCCCTGGCAAGTT